GGATCACTGTATGATTGAAAAATATCAACTGCCAAAATGCATTTATTATTATTTATCATTCCTGTGTGATTAAATAAAGGATATTACATGGGTGCATGGAAATATTGTGCTAACTCGTGGGATATATAAATTCAAAACTTGAAGATAAAATTGATATCTTCAAGCGACAGCTGTAATGTTCTGTCCATTAAATGACATTGGTGTAAGCAAAAGTCTGTAGTTACACAAACATTAGAAGATCAAAAAGTTTGAACATTTCAAGAATATGAATTTATGATTTCTGCATGATTGAATAATGCCAAAACTTTCAAAATGCATTTATATTATTTGATGATTCCTGTAAAGATTGAAAAATATCAACTATTAAGAATTTAAAACAACAAAATTGCAAACAATTTCTATTGACATGATGCATTTGTTATTATTTTTATTATTTCTGCATGATTGAAAAATTTCAAAACTGTCAAAATGCATTTGTTATTATTTTATGATTCCTTTAATGATTGAAAAATACCAAAACTGCCAAAATGCATTTAATATTATTTATAATTCCTGTATGATTGAAAAATGTCAAAGTTTCAAAATATATTAAGAATTAATATTAATTTATGATTTCTGTAAGATTATCTAAGGAAGTTTTATTTTGGTAAATAACCACAAGAATTCAAAATAAGTGGTTTTCTTTACATATAATTATATATATCACTGATTTGCATCAACAAAGCTGAAGAGAAAAAGTTTAATAATTATTTAATGTAGTGCCATGGAATTTTTTTGTTAGCAAAAATAAATTAGTCTTGACAAAACATGTACTCAAAATCTGACCAATGTGTCTTGCATCACATCTTCATCCAACATGCATATCTTTTGGGAGCTCCGCTATTAGGTTTTACCTAATTTTTATATTAGATTTTCCCGCCATTCCCCGCGCGCTTATTGAGCTGAGATGCCGAGTTGTGAAGAGCCGCCGACCGCCGCTATCAGGTGTTTTTAGATTGAATTTTAAGTTGTACAAGTGAAGAAATTTACGCTTTTACAAAAACTTATTTTGTAACAAAGGTTCAATGGCACCATTAACTATTATATTTAAATGTCTAAAGATAGTGAAAAGGTATAAAAAATAAGCGAAAAAGCTCATATGAAAGAATCGACATTTTAGTTCTGGTTTCTTTTACCGACGAATCTGATCAAAAAGCATGACAGTGAACACAAAATAATCTATTCTTATAATGAGTTCTTCATCTAAAAAATGTGACATCACAAATGTTTAAAATTGTCATTTAATAAATTTGTTTGTGACAGTTTTGTTTTGCATCTAAACAAAAACTCTTCACAATTGAAGTTACCTTAAGCTTTACGGAATTTCGGCGCCTTTTTTCTTGAACAGCCGATAAACAGTCCTCTAAAATGTTGTTGTTTTATGGTCATATAAATTAGTCAACCCAAAAAGAGTTCCATATCAATGTCCATTTGCATGTAAAAATTTGCAAGCTTACTTGCTTCAGTCATGTTTGTTCAAGTTTGCTCACCTTGAAAATTTTCCGCTTTTGTACAATTTGAACCTTCGTTCCTCGTCTTCAAAACAGCCATTTGATTTCAAATTCTGGTTATCAGTTAAAGATCCAGAGTGTGATTTTGAGTCGATTTGTGTTGCTTTTGCTGTCCAATGAATTTTGTTGGTCTTCGACTGCTCAATGAAAAGTTCATAAGCTTAATTGTTGGTTGTTGTTTTTTCTCCAGATTTTCCCCTGTATTCCCAAGAGTAATTACACCTGTTTTCTATCACTGGCTTCCTCATCGGCTAAATATGAAGCGAAAGGTGATTCTGCTTTCCTTTTTTGGGACATATTTCTACTAAAAGTTWACTTTAAACATYCTGAAAATGAATTTTGAAATAGTCTAGTACTAAGATCTTCCTCGCCGGCGGTCGACCGGCGGCTGGTCATTCAGAAACCTATTGTTCAAGTCGCTTTCTGATAGGCTGTTTTGCGCCGAATTTATAATGAGCAATTCTAAAAATAGCACCAAGAGGGGTAAATGCCGTTCCAAGAGCTTATGAAAAAGAGGAATGCTCCTAGTAATGGGCTCCTGTAATTTCTGCATATTGCTGTATATATTAGACGGAATTTGTCATTTAACATTCAACTAGCTTTGAAAGGATTCATCAATGCCTAACATGAGTTAGTTGTTCAGTTTCTTGTCTAGCWATTTTCCCTTTTGTAACTCGTTAGCTTTTTTATGATATAGGAACTGAGATAGTTTATACTATCATTAGTTATTGCACACTCTRYAGARGCGTTGTTTCAGGCGTCCATTTTTCTAAACGGATGTTTATCATGAATTTCTCATAATTGGATAAATATCAATTTCACGATAGCATGTGATAAATAAGGAACTGAAACCATTCGAAAACCAGTACCCTTTATTTTTTTARTGTGTAAAATGTACCAGAAATCGATCGAGATTTCTATTCTTTAGTATATAGTTGTTTCTATTTTTGTGGTATGAAGTATGTAGATGAAGAGTTTAATGCAAATGATGCTTATCGTGCGTAATGTCAAAAATATTCTRCACATGTAAACAATAAACGTTTTAGACAAACATTTTGCCAGGTTTGCCACAGTCTCAGAAACAGTAAAACAGACACAATGGGCCCTTTAGGGAAAATTTAATTCTCGTACATGTTATTTTTAACAAATAGATCTTCTAAAATGAAAAATAACAAGTGAATTAGCTAGTTTCCTAATTAATTCGCTAATTTCAGTGGGAAATTTCCATATGATATGTTTTCCAAACTAATCCGTTATTCAAATTTCGTGCCAAACGTTCGCGCCATTTGTAGTGCACCCCCTTAAAAAATCCTGGATCCGCCCCTGAGACATGACAAGCAAATATAAACAAAGAAAAACGTAGATAAAAAACAGGAAATGCAAAAGAAAAACAAGTGTCAAAATTCGACAATAAGTTGAATGTATGTTTGTTGCAGCTTAGTTTAATAAAGACACGGCGCCAATCCAGTCAAAACCACTATTGCAACGAAAAGCAAGACATCCATCAAAACTTGTACAGCTTTCAAACTGAATAGCATTCAGCGATGAAGTTGCTAAAACGGCTTGATCAATGTATATCAAAAAGGTCATGCCGACAAGAAGAGCCGTCCRCATTCGCATTAAATAAAGAATCCTTTCACGCAARGAAATAGAGGTACAGACCTCACCATGGTCTGCTATGAGGAATGTTTGTGCAACCGACAAAACCTTAGCATTTCATATCAAACTAACWAGAATWTCAGAAATAACATTCCAGCATGGCGGGTGTAAATTCTACTGAAAGTTTATTGATGCAAGCTGCAAGAGATGGAGACTTAAAACTAATGAATCGACTTATAGAAGGCGGAGCTAGTGTCAACGCGGTARATGAAAACGRTCAAACAGCATTAATRATTGTTGCCAAAAACAGYTCCTTTATRCCTGGAATGGCGATCTCGTTAATGAAYRGCGGAGCTGATGTCAACATAAAGGACACAMAAGGCAAAACAGCATTGATGTATGCCATAGMTTACGGAAAKGAAARCACCGCAYTTGCAATAATGGAGAACAGCAAAGATCTAGATTTAAATGCTGTTGATAATCGAGGCGAAACAGCATTGATGAAAGCTCTTAATGAMATAAGATTTGTSCATGGACGAACGCCGCACGRAMAAGTATTTATGCACTTGACGAGGGATGGTGCTAATGTAATGACGAGATTTGCCATTGCACTTATCAAACGTGGTGCTGATGTCAACATGGAGGAYAAAGAASGCMAAACAGCATTGATGYATGCTATAGCTTACSCAAATGAAAAAAMCGCACTTGCATTACTGGAAAACAGCAAAGATCTAAATTTAGATACTGTGGATTATCAAGGCCAAACAGCATTGATGAAAGCTATTATCAAAGGAATGACCACAATTGCCGAAGCACTTATCACACGTGGTGCTGACGTCATCATAAAGGATAAAAAAGGCAAAACAGCATTGATGCATGCCATAGCTTACCCAAATGAAAACACTGCACTTGCAATAATAGGAAACAGTAAAGATCTAGATTTGAATGCTGTCGATAATCAAGGCCGAACAGCATTGATTAAAGCTATTATAGATGGGATGACGAGAATTGCCATTGCACTTGTCAAAC